AAAGGGTGGCTTTTTAAGAAAGAAATGCTGCTGGATCAGCAGAGCAGTTCTAAACAAGTCAGGTGTGAAGATTCATAATGCAGACAAGCTGTAGACAATCACAAATGTCCATAATGGGTAAAGATTTCATAATAAGGGAAGAATAACAGCCTTGGTTCTGCTGGAGGACATAACCAATGGAAGAATGAGGGCAGAGTCTGTCCTTCTAGATGCCTGTGCAAATTCTCAGTCATCCGGGTCGATGTTACAACAAAATCGGCTTCAATTTTAGGCTACTGGACTTTTGCTCAGTTCTTCTGAAATATTTCAACACCTATCCAGGAGTCTCTGTCTATTCTGTTGGCTCATTCTAGAAGAACCATTAGTTGGAGCTCTGGTATGTTTAAGTACCTGGAGGTCCCTTCATCAAAGCCCATTCCAAGTCAAGTGCAAAACAACAATGCAGCATCATTCTCCTGTGTTGTTGGGATCTATTGTTCGGTCTAGATTTTGTGTTTGGCCATGATGAAGTCATGACTTTGTGGGTTTCTGATAGGTTAACTCTGAACCTCTGACATCATTAAAAACACATCTGCTGATGTCTTTTATGGTTACCATGACGGCGCTCCAAGGCAGTGGCCAAGAACAGCTCCTCTTGACAGTTTCACACAATATGCCGCTTAAAACGATACAAACTAGACATCAAACCTGCATCTATGATCGCCAATGCCAATCTATGGTCACAAAATGTCACAAAATACTGACACTTTTAACCATTTCAAAAGCTGCAGAGTGCTGCGGACGCATGTCAACAAAACAATAGCGGAACATAACTGACGCAGGAAGAGATGTGCAAGGCAGAGGCTGCAGAGGGGGTCTAACTGTGAAGCCAAAGAGAGATCCACACAGACCACCGCTTCCATCAATCCTGCTCTCCAACGTCCGCTCACTGGAAACAAAATGGATAATCTCTGACTATAACTCTCATTAAAGAAGGAGATATGTAACTGCTGCGCCATCATTTTGACAGAGTATTGGCTGCGTCAAAATACCGGATGGTGCTGTTAGCCTGGGGAGGCTGGTGCTGTACCACGCCAGTAGAAACAAAGAGCTCTGTGT